TAGTAAAATGATTGAGATGTGATGAGGCGGGCGGTTGTAATACCTTCAGAGTTGAGCTGGTGCTAGGCCAGCTCTCATGAATGAGCCAGTGCCAGGCCATCTGAGGTTAAATATAGACTACTTATGTCAACAATGTGCACATTCATTTTCGGAAGTCCTACTAAAAGAATTCTATAGTTAAGCGTGCTCGCCCTAGAGTAATTTGAGGATGGGTAAAGTCTCTCAGGGTGCGTGTGAGTGAGGACAGAAGTGCGCTGAAAGGACTCGTGTTGACCTGTGGGGCGAGTCTGCAATCCCAGCATGCCCGGCTTTGCGTGGCTTGTGGGTTGGACTCCTTCTTTTCTTCAAATACCGTAGGCAATTTTTTTTATTGGGTGATTTTTTAACTATTAAGGTGTTGGACGATATCTTTATCATGGTATTGGTTATAAATGTATCTAATTTTTTCGATTAATGGAAATTTGTTTGTTTTTTATATTTTTTTGCGAGTGCCTCTCATTACCTTTGATGTGTCTTGATTTTTAATTTATGTCTCAAATAGAAGATTACTTATCTTTGTAATTACACTATAAATTTGTATTTGTATTAGATATACTCATGAAGACACGTCTTTGTTTTCAAATGATGGCTGACTAAAAAAGGAATACAAAAGGCTTACCTCCAAATTCTCTATATATTTCTTCTATACAAAGATGACTAAACTTAAAGTTGAGATGAACGATAAATAGCTGAAAGCTTTGCAACTCACACCCTTTGAGTATTTTCTAGATTGTTTGAAAAAGAAACTACTTTGACATTGGTTGTGGGCGATTGTGAATATGTTGGACATTGAGTCCCAGTCATTTAGAATTGGTGATGAAATTTAAATAAGTTGTTTACTGAATAGTTCTTTATAGTTCTTTCGGTTCACAAAATTTTATGGTTGAGTGTTAAGAAATCCCTAAATTTAAACATCATACCCCCAATGAATACATATGTTTATAATTTAACTAATTTACTTCTGACATGATTTCATGTACTCTTATTAAGGAATAGACCTTATAAGTAACTACATACGTAGTCGACATGTAATGACAAGATGTTTACATACCCTTTAAAAAGCACCGATGGATACGTTCAATGTACACCTCTATGACAAATGCTTACTTATAATGTGAATATTCCTAATATGTCTAATGTATAATATTTACTCCTTATGCCTACTAACGTATTTGTTCGTTGGGATATTTTTTCTAGTTTACAAAATACTGACATGGACAAAGCCAATAATGAGTGTGGGGACTGAGACATATCTCATTAGTTATCCACTAACTCATTGATATCTCTTATCATTATTTACAACATCATATGTTATGTCAAACCTATCGTTTGTGACATTCTCATCTACCCTTGAATACATGAACAAATTATCTCAATTAGCATATCAGTAGTATTGATTGATAAACACCAATATTCGACGAAATTGCAATGATATATTTAACCTATAGCCGTGTAAGCTAGCTACAATTATGGTTCAGTGTTAAGAGACTCCTAAATGGAAGCGATATACCTCCAATGATGATATTTGTTTCTCTATTTCACTAAGTTATATACTTTTGAATTGATTGAATATACTCGTATTAAGGAATAGGCTTTATAAGTAATTTTATACATATTCGACGTATATTGAGAATATGTGCACTCAACAAATGTCTAAAAGCAATTATGGACACATTTTATGCTTACATCAATTACTATTGCTTTCCTCATAAAATGGAATTGTCTAATATATCTCATGCGTAATATTTGCTTACTATACCTTTAAACATATTTTTTCTTGTTGGGAGTTTTTTCCTATTCTGAAAAATGCTTTTTACGGACAATTACAATACAGAGAACATCATGCATCATGAGTTATGCACTAACTCCAAAATATCTATTACTGTGGTTCATCACATGATATGATATATCATATCTATCTTAAGTGACATTCTCATTCACCTTTGAATACATAGATAGGTAATTTTATACACCATTTTTAAAATATTTGTTTATGCACGCTAACTTTTGAAGAAGTGAGTGTGATGTAATCAACTAGTAATTGTTTAATCCAATAACAATCAATGACAAATTCTCGATAGATACTTAAATACCCTTATTTATAAAAAATTATACCTGTATATAAATATGAATGCTTCCATACAAAAATACGCAACCTTTTAATTGGATACGTGCACTTTTGGTCATAATAAATATACCTCAGACACATAATAACATACTCGTATTTTCATTGTAACAACTCAGTCGATAAAATTAAATATTCGCATAAAAATGCGATTTATGTTAATGTAATTTCAGGTAAATTACGAGGGTACACTATGAGTCATGTTATACTATAATAAATAGTTAGGGGGACATAAAATTTAACAAGAAATTACCATGTGTTATGCATTATCGTTTTTAATAAGTATTACTTTTTTTATCATATTTTATATAACTACAATAACTTGTAATGTAATTTTGTTGTAAATTAATATACCTTTGTTTTGTACTTTGGAAGAATTAATTTGAATTGATACGTACTTTGTTATAATAATTGTGTATTCTTAGTAATATACATGAGATATCATTTAATTTTCAAATCATTCAATTGTAGCCGCGTACATGAATTCACGTTTAATGTACAATATGCCAAAAACAAAAAAAAAAATAATAATTACAGCTATGAGAAATACACCGAAAATACCTACGAGTCCCTTGGAATATAGATAATTCTCCTAACATTGAGGTTGCGATTATGCAATAAATTTTTGGGAAAACAACATGGCCTCACAATAAACATTATATGCTGCTTAAAATCCTTTCGAGAAGGAGGGGCACAACTGCTTTTTTTTTTTTAAAAAAAAAAAATAATAATAAATATTCATCATTTTTTGTTGTATATCAGATATCTCCTTGTTACCTATAATAAATTTAGTTTCCTTATAGTGCGTATCGTAATAAATGATATGTATATTTTATACATACCTGAGTGCATAAATTGTTTACTAGATGCCAAAACAATTTGTGTGGTGGGCTTCGAGAAATACAACGAGGATGGACTTTAAAATTCCCGAGTGTCTATCTAAATAAATATATATTCTTTCCAATTATATCGACCATCAACATGAAACTTTAAACTCAAGCAAAATTATTCCTAATTTTTGAAAAACACTATTGCATAACAAATTTTAATATTATCCAACATATAAGTACATCAAATCCCAAGCTTCAGAAATGAGTAGTCACCGTATATATAAACAAAACTAAGGAATTTGCAAACAAATACAACATACAATATCACACTATATATGTATAAAATTAATAAATATAGGTATACTATACCAAAAAAGGTATTTTGTGAAAATGTCCACATATACTAGCGTGAAATCACAACAACTCTCACAAAATATTTTTCTTATACATATCTTTTCTATAAATGTCATAATGATTGTAAAATTAGCAACTGCAACCATAAATAAAATACAATATCTCCAATAACCGAAATAAAAACATTCATCGATTATAGAAACTATCTTTAAGAATAAAATTATTTATAATATCAAATAATAATGAAGATAATCAATCGTGCCTGAATTTTTGTCTTCGCTTTTAATTGAACGTGTGTGAAATCGGTATTAGGGAAATAATGGTCCTAAAATTCTCGTATCAAAAGATTATTGCAGAATTCGCTTTACCCATGTTACTCTTGCGCGAAATAAACCTGATGATTAGAATTTTGGATTCAAATTTGGCTCATCATTGCTCTCGCGCGAGAAAAAACAAAACCTAAAAACATGCGATTAAAATTGAAAAAATTAAATTTGAGAAGACAACAGTAATATTGTAAAGTAAAAAAAGGTAGAAAATAAATCATGTAGATTTATAAAAAATTAAGAAGTACAGTGTAAAAAAAATGCGATGATTGAATTTTTTAAAAATTCAAAATATATGTAGATACTTAAATCAAATTGTCCGTATTTTATAATATAAAATAAATTTCTTATTAAAAATATAAAACTATTATATATAGTAAAAAATAATTAAAAACTTGAGCATAAGTCACTTTAAAACAAAGCCTTGGTAATTTAATTAATACGCTTAGTATGGGTTTTCTTATAATTAAGAATTATAGATATTCAACAACACAGTCACTCCATACACACCATGACGAAGGTGGTTTCCAATTCATAAGTCATTAATTATTTTAAGTTTTATTTATTATTACGATGGATGAATGGATTGAGTGAATAAGGTGCGCCGAGACTCCCGCCGCAAGGAATACCTACTAATTGTTAAATTAATTAATTGAGAGTGTGGGTGTAGCGCGGAATCTGCAAATCCCCCCGTGAATTCAGACACTCTCTCTTTCTTTCTCATTGGAATTGGAATGTTCGTACGGCCCCCCGCCCCTCTACGCTTCCTTGTGCGTCTTTTCCTTTCTTTTCTTTTCCCCCCACAAATAAAATTCCTTCTTTATTCTCTTTGACCGCCATACGCGCGGGCCGGGAGCCGGTAAATATGTCAAAAATTACTAGTACTAATTCAAACAGTAATAACCAACAGCCTAACGGGAACGTACCCTGTCACTGCACCACTGGACTGTACGGTACAACACAATTCCCTTTCTTTTTCTTTTGTACTCCCTCCTACGGCTACTAATATTATTATTATTATTATTATTATTATAACAGAAAAAGTCAGCCACGCCACGTGAGCGACCGACGGTGGCACGTGACGGGGGCCTGACACTGTGGATAATGAAGCAGCAGGAGCAGGAGTAAGTTAACCAGCATAATCATTACTACTTGCTTTGCTTCCGTCCGTCGGTTAAAATGATTAGCGCTTGTCGCTAATCATCTAACCATGGTCGGGTAATTCCGCTCTCTCGCTGCATGCCTGGCGGTTAGCTAAGCTAACGCCCGTTACATTTAACGTTTTCTGCTCCTCGCACCAGTCTATATAATGGTCAGAGGCCGTTACGTTGGATGTAGTGCTTCTTCTTCTTCTTCTTCTTCTTCCTCTTTACCTTTGTCTCCTTACTGCTGACCTGATTTCTCTTTCCCTCTCTCTCTCCCTCTGGCAGGAGGAGAGTCGATTTTCCGGTAATTGTGGGTGTTTTTGTGGAGAGAGAGACGGAGTTGTCAAGGCAATGGGGGTGGAATGGAAGAAATGGGCGCTGTCCCTGTTTTATCTACTGCTGCTTGTGCATTTCGTTGCGGCTGTGGCTAGAGTGCAGAATGATGGAGCCTTAGGATCGAGGTTCGTTTTCTGGTTCTTAATTTGATTATTGCTGGAAATATTCTACTGCATTGTTCTTCTCCAGAAATACTTTGGACTTTGTTTTTCTATTTTTTGTTATCTGCATTTATTTGCTCGATCGAATGCAGTTTATTGAATGTGAATATAACAACCTACATTTGTTTCTCTGGATTTTTGTCTTCAATGGAATTTTGTCCATTTTTCGAACTGGATCTGCATTTTTTCGGAATGCTCGTGGCTATCTATTTATTCATTGTTTTGTTCCTATATATTTATTTGCTCTGCCTTCTCTTTTTGATTCAGTGAAATGGAGAAAAAGAAATTGCAAAGCTCACCAAACTCAACAATGGCGGAAAAGTGAGTAGATCGGCTCTTCACCTCTTCCACTTAATTATTTCTCCTCTCGACTTCCCCAAATCTGAGCCGTCGATTTTCCCTCTTTCCTATCTGCCAAATTCCAACCGTCGGATCTCCTCCTGCTTCAATCCCAACAATTTAAAGATACTGTTTGTATTCTGAATAGATCTCAACCGTTTATTCTGTTAACGAACCTTTCTACTCCTCGGATTCCTCTGCATTCTAATAAAAACAATTCGACCTCTTTTCTCGCCTCTCATAATTTATCTATCGTCACACCATTCACCAGATGCTAAAAATCTTCAGCCTATGGCTATGGGTATTTCGATTGATTCTGCATCTTCTCTCCAAGGGAACCGTTACAACGGTTTAAATGCTGCTGGGGGCAGACTGAGCTACAATCCTCGAGCAGTCTAAAAGCTGTATTTGTTGCGTTTGTGTAGTGTCGTGTCATCACCCCACCTTTCCCTATCTTTAATGCTCTGCCTGAAACTTACTGCATATGTTTGTTTGTTTGTTTCACCATTATCTCAAAGTGATTTGATTTAGTCAAAACAATCTGAAGTTGATCTGTGCCCTAGACAGCCGAAACAAAAATTTCCTGTCAGATTAATTCTGGAAAATCATTGGAATTTCTACCTCTATGATGACGATGATGCAGTCGGTGACAAATTAATGTTAATGTGTTGTTCAGGTTGGAAGGCATTGATGAAGAAAGTTTAAATGAGCATACTGTGGATGACCCAGAAGAGGTTGCCAGAATGGTTGAAATGTGGGGTGAACTTTCATATTTTTGCCCTTTAAGTTTTATGACTTTGGTTTCTACAGTCATGCCATGATGGATGGTTGGGAATTGCCTTTCTCTGCATTTAATTCCTTTTCTGTCTTTGATGGTTTAAGATGTGCATTAAAGTTGTGGTCCTTTGGATTTTGATTGATTGAATGCCATTAAGTGTTTCTTGGAGCAGATCTATCTATCCACATGCTTTCTGGTTCCATCAATATTTTTATTTCATTTCTTCTGAAACTGCTCTATTTATTACAAAGTATAATTCTAGAGAGGGTCTGCACTGCAGTTCCTGTTTTATTCTTTGATGCTTGAATATATATGCATACATAAAAACATAAATATACTTATATGCCTTCACATTGTAAAATGAGCAAAATATTTTAGTCCCCCTGATGTGCTTTTGGCCGTAGTGGGGTTCAGTTTTTGCACATGCTGTTGTTGGATCCATGTTTTATGCTTTCATTTTCTAATTAATTTTTCACTCACTCACTCGGATGATTCTTTATTATCATTCTCTTCTGCTTACTTGGTAAAGACTAGATTGCCCTCAGTTAAGAATTTCATAAACATGTTCTTTATCTATTTTGTACATGATAATGGATTGATTAATTTCTTTCAAGTTAAACCATCACAATTTTTAACTACGCGCAAAGGAAGAAGAAAGAAACAAGTGCAGGCACTGTATGATAAGGATTTATTGGCATGAGGAGGCATACGATAGTATATTGAGATATATATATATATATATATCTATCTTATCCTTTTTCACGTGACAGCATGTGCCGCTGAGCAGACAAAGTTTCTCCTATGTTTGTTGTTGTCTTCACATGTCAATAATAATATATCACCACCTAAATTTAGTCCTAAGATCTATAGGAAACTTTAAGAACTAAAGAGAATCGTATCCTCAATGTCTGCTAAATTGTCTTTCTTCTAATCTTCCACACAAATGTGCTGCGATCTTCGTAATTAAACAAACATGGCTTATGACGTGATAGTACTTAATTGCTGACAAAACCTTTGGGTTCCACAGGGCCACCCGAAACAGCACGGAGAGGCGGCGAAAATTGGGATTTTTCTCTTGTGGAACAGGCAACCCGATTGACGACTGCTGGCGTTGCGATGCAAACTGGCACAAGAACCGCAAGCGCCTTGCCGACTGTGGAATTGGTTTCGGGCGCAATGCAATTGGTGGTCGTGACGGGCGGTTCTATGTTGTCACGGATCCTGGTGACGATGATCCTGTGAACCCGAGGCCCGGAACACTGCGCCATGCAGTTATCCAGGAGCGGCCTTTATGGATCGTGTTCAAGCGCGACATGGTTATTCGACTAAAGCAGGAATTGATCATGAATAGCTTTAAGACCATAGATGGCCGCGGCGTGAATGTCCACATTGCTAATGGAGGATGCATCACAATTCAATACGTGACCAACATCATTATCCATGGTCTTCACATCCACGACTGCAAACCAACTGGAAATGCCATGGTCCGGAGCTCCCCCACGCACTTTGGCTGGAGGACTATGGCCGATGGAGATGCCATTTCTATCTTTGGTTCGAGCCACATTTGGGTTGATCACAACTCGCTTTCCAACTGCGCTGATGGCCTTGTCGATGCTGTCATGGGATCCACAGCCATAACCATTTCCAACAATTATTTCACCCACCACAACGAGGTGATGACAGGACCCGACTCGACCCTGGCTTCTCTTTATTTATTTAACATTCATTCATTGTCGATAACGCATGTGATTCTGGATTGGCGCAGGTTATGTTGCTAGGGCACAGTGACTCGTATATGCGAGACAAGCAGATGCAGGTGACTATTGCCTATAACCATTTCGGGGAGGGCCTCATCCAGAGAATGCCGAGGTATATTTAATTTGCTCAGTCACCAGCCATGCTATGCTTTATGGTAGTAGTAGTAGTAGTATAGGGAGTAGTAGTCAAAGTCATGATTGATTCAGAATATGTATGTATGCGTGTCTTTACATAGATATTATGACAATTTTTTGCAGGTGCCGGCACGGATACTTCCATGTAGTAAACAACGACTACACGCATTGGGAAATGTATGCTATAGGCGGAAGCGCAAGCCCTACGATCAACAGCCAGGGCAATCGATATCTGGCACCGGTGAACCCCTTTGCGAAAGAGGTATGTATGTATGTATGTATGTATGCGTATATATATATATATATGTATATTTGGTGTGGTGATGTGATAGATGATGAGAAATGAGAAATGAGAAATGATTGATGCAGGTGACAAAGAGGGTGGACACAGCTGCAGGTGAATGGAAGGGATGGAACTGGAGATCTTCAGGAGACTTGATGCTTAATGGTGCGTATTTCACAGCGTCGGGGGCTGGCGCTTCAGCCAGCTATGCAAGAGCTTCAAGCTTAGGTGCTAAGTCTTCATCCATGGTTGCATCTATTACTTCTGGCGCTGGTGTGCTTGGCTGTCGCCGCGGTCACCAGTGCTAGCAACCTAACATCATGCATACATACATACATACTTACATACACATACACACATGATAACACCTACATATATATATATATATATATATCCTCGTCCTCATCCTCATCCTCCAATTCAATTCGATTGATGATTGATGATTGATTTCCACAAGTATCCTTTCTTCCTTCCTTAGTAGTTACTATTACAATTGATTAAGTCGATTCGATTGTCCGCCCCGCCCTGTTGTTAGTTTGTTTGTTTGTTTGTTTTGTCCCCTGCCCCTCAGTCAGTCAGTATGTCTCTATATTATTTATATAGATGTATCTCAATCAATCCAATCAGATCTCAGTAGTGTGTGTGTGTGTGTGTGTGTGATTGGATTGTCAAGTGAAGTCAAGTGTACATTTTTTACACGGGTGGGAGGAGGAGGAGGAGGAGGATGAGGTGTTGGCATTGATGTAAGCAACCTCGGCCTTGGCCTGATTTGGGCGCACTCAAAAAACAAGTGTACTTTGGCTCCCGTCTGTCATTCTATATATTTTTATTTAGCAATTTAGTTAAAACATACTCATACTGATACATACTTGTTTACTGTTACTATTATCATTGTCTCTCTTCTTTACTTTGCTTTGCATGCATATATTATATGTATGTATGTATGTATTTATTTGTGGATGGTTGAAGCAGCAGCAGCAGCAAGTTAAGCACAGTGTTTGGACAGAATGGATGATCTCCTCAGAAAGTATATATACATCTCTCTCTCTCTCTCTCTCTCTCTCTCTCTCGTCTGTTGTGTAGGTGAGCCCAGTAATGCAATACAATGCAATGCAATGCAATAATACTCAAGCTAAAACAGAAACACAGACAGACAGACAGACACTATAATTAGTTGAGTTGATTAATTATATTATATATTAATGTCATCATATCAATTCACATTGACATTGACATAGGATGCTGATTGTGCCGCCTGCCCTGCAATACAGAAGTGAGCATTCCATTCCATTTCTTTTTCACCAAAGCCTAAACCTGTTAGTAATTCACAAATCTTTCTTTTGGTTTTCTCTTTTATATTAATTAATTAAATGAATGAATGAATCAATCTTGTGATTGAGATTTGAGATTTGAGAATTGAGAATGAAAGAAGCAAGCAAGCAAGCGAGCTAATCACAAACATTAATATTATTATAGCATGCAGATCGATCTTGTATTGGATTGCATTGCATTGCATGTGGTTTTGGGACCTACATAGATTTTCCTTTTTTTCACACTAAGGCAGAGCAGAGCAGGGGACCTACTCATAATAAATACCCTTAACCAACAAGACCATATGCACATTATTATTATTAGAATATAATAGATTGCGCTTTTGATAATCTTGGGTGGATTATATTGAGGTGGTGTGGTGATGTTATAATTGAATTTGAGGACGACCACGACCACAACGAGGATCATATATCATGTCATTATAATAATTGATTGACTTACCAATCCCAATCCCAATCCGAGGGGAGAAAGCTATGGAAGGCCAGCCCTCCCTTGATTAGCGCATTCATCACCTCTCTCCCTCTAAACTTTATTATTATTTTCATTTATTATTATTATTATTATTACAAGACATAATATGATTATGTTTCATTACTTTGATCACACAACACACATACATACCTCACCTACGTACAGTACAAATACTAATAATTCATTCCCAACAACCAACAACCAACTACCTATTCTATTCTATTCTATCGATATGGCTAAAAAGCTCCAAAGTGAACTACTACTTTTTCATTAGCTTTTTTACAATAATTCAAGTCCATCATTTCAGATAATTAAATTAATTAATCAATTAGTGTTCAGTAGCCAAAACAAGTAGTACTAGTGTTCACACATATTTTTTAAAATTCGTGCCCGGTCAAATAAGAATAAAATTCGACGACGGAGGAGTATATATATGCAAACGCAAAACGCACATTTGATTTGAGGCACGCACGCATGGCATACATATATAACATAACCGAGTCTAGTCTGTCCATAAAATTAGATATATAGATCAATAGATATTGCAAGTTAAGTTAAAATTTGGCCCAAGACCAAGAGTGCCTTCCTTCCCTGTACTGTTTGTTATACATAAACAATTTTCAAATATGTTTATTTCTTCGCCTAACTAATTATTCAATTAATTAATTTACTGTTATATACATATAAACTAGGTAGCTACTTGTAGTGGTACACATATTGCATTCGTAGATATCGTATAGATGAAATATGGATTTTTTGGATAGCTAAGAATACCTATATATATTTACAAAAAATATGGATTTTTTGGATGGCTAATAATACCTATATATATTTACGAATGCACAGCCAATATAATTAAATCATTTTACACCTCTGCTCCCTATATATATCTCTCAATTATTTTCACACATCTTCCATCATTAAAACACATACATACATCCATATTTTTATATATATATAATATATAAAATAGTGATTAACAGTAGAGATAATTAATATCTTTATTTGTTATTCACATAATTATATTTATACACGTTATCACAACGATCGACTTTCCGTCCATGCAATATTTTGAAAGGTAAGCAAGGTAGGTATATTATATGTCAATAAGATTATTGTTACTAACGCTGCAATATAGAAATTTATATCACTTGTCATTTTTGGCAAGAATCACCCGTTATGACCATGAATACATAGATGAATCTAGGATTCACGGGTCTGAATGAAAAATAATTAAAGGCAATAATGCTTCCAATTGAAGCCTAATTAAGGCAATGTTATTCATCCGACATCATATTGATGAAGGACTGAAATTGGAATATCTCTCGGTCAAGAATCATCTTGACTTGTGGAATAAAAAAAATTATACAATCACCTTAAGTTGATCGTACCGCCAAAGTTATGGAAAAACTGGAGGTTGCAAAACTTCAAAATAGTCGCTGAATATAAATATACTTCTTTCAGCGTTCAAAAGATGCCACGTGATTGTAATGACAGTGACTTGATGGTGAAAATTTTATCCACAAATATTTTATTAAAATCAGATTTCATTTAGCACTATGAAGGTGCCAAGTGATTATTATTACTTTTTGCACCATTTTTATTTTTTGTAATCTTCTCTGATGCTATGGGATATTGTTTGTATGTATCACGAATCCACAAAGAGATCGGACGACAGGTCAATTGCTCATTGGACTGCAACATTGCTCAAGTTCTTTCTTTGAAACGTGATGATGTGGATGTTGAAAATGAAAGAAAAGGATCAAGATGAGACAAAATTTGTATCTCAGATCCTACTGCAACAAGAGACATAATAATTTTTTTTTTTTTCTTCAAAGAGGTACTTTTGACTATCTTCTCTTCTGGGTCATTAATGAGGATTTTGACATGTTAATTCATCCTTTTGCCCTAATATATGTCTTTAGACATCTCCAAAAATTATTTGACCTTTTCTAAACTTATGGTGTCGTTGTTTGATTGGCCAAAGGGAGTCTTGTACATTCTATATATACATGCTTCCTAAGAATGTTTAGGTCAAGTTTTTTTATCACATACTTGAGAGAAAATCAGAGCATTTTCATGAGCATTGTGTGAGGTGAGATTTGGGAACCTGGAGAGTTTATCTTACCGTGAGAAAAGCTGAAATCTCATGTTAGGTTAGATTGAGTTTCACTTCTAGTTGAGGGGGAATGTTCTCATTTCTTTGAGGGATTTTCTTGAAAGGTTAGACCATGTCTTGAGTAGAAAAATTAGGGAGGATTTTCATCTATTTTGTTTGGTCTAAACCTCATCGAAGCTGCTGCAAACTTGAAGCCAAAATGATATTCTGAGTAGATTATCGTTGTTTGTTGTATCGACAAACTGCTGAAGATTTTGTTTGGACAAAGAAGTTTCAAAGAGAGCTGAAGGAGAAAAAGGTGACAAACTACCTACACCTTCGTCCTATCTCAAAACACAATCAATGGAGGCTGAGTCCATGCATGCTTGTCTTAATGAAGAAAGATGCATATATATGTGATAGGAAAAGCCATACATTAGATTGTGTGTGTTGTTGGAGTTTTATGGAGTTTGTGTGAGGAATGTTTGTATCTTGTTTCTGCCCATCTCATAGTGGAATATCCCTGGGTTGGTAATCCCCAGACGTAGGCCGATTGAGGGCTGAACTGGGTCAACAATCTATGGTGTACCGTTTGTTTGATTCATTCTGCACTGCACTTCCCGCTGCTTATTTGTTGTTTGAATCTCAAGCAGACAATATCACTCTGAACACAACAAACCTTCAGTGTTTGCACTACATTCCGCTTAATCGTTCAAGAGTGATTTGGAAGACTAACGAAGAAAGATCCATTCAAAGATGTCAAAGGACGAAAACTCGACATCGAGACCACCACTGCTGGACGGATCAACCTACCAAAAAGAAAAGGAAATGAGCAATGCCAACTCTAGAGCATTGAATGCGGTATTCAATGGTGTTGATAAATCTCTGTTTAGAATCATCTCAACATGCACGACTGCGAAAGCTGCATGGGATGCCCTGCTGGTGACATTTGAAGGTTCGGACAATATTTTAGCCACTAAACTGCAAATGGTGAAATTCAGTTTGATGGTCTAAAAATGAAGGATGATGAAACTGTGTTCGACTACAGAAATCGATTCAAAGATATCATCAACCAAGCTCATATGCTTGGCTTAGTCTATGATGAAAGGAAGCTTGTCAATAAAATGCCGAGGACGATCACAAGTAGGTTTGCACCAAAGATTGCTGCTCTAGAGAAGATAGAGAAAATCAAAATAATGTAGCTTGACAGACTGATTTGGATATTGTAAACATATGAGCTAAACCATTTGAACTAAAGCCAAAGAAAGGACTTGCCCTCACAGCTGAAGATGCTGACCCTGAGAATGAAAAAGAAGATGAGGTCTTATTTATCTCGAAAAGGATTTCCAAAATGCTGCGGGAGAGAAGAGCGAAACAGATCAAGCAGAAAGGTGTTCAGACTGGTGATCAACGGAGGGTTCGAACAACCAATAGACAACCTCCACAGAATGAGCTGAAAACTAATTTTCAAAACAAAGTTGTTGTCCTTAAGCCTGAACTGAAAAGGAGATTCCAAGTTCCTTAGAAGCCGAATGTCTCAGACAATGTGACGTGCTATGGTTGCAATGGATCCGGACACCTGAAATTTGAATGTCCAACGACATTGAGAAAATAAACTAAGGCCATGGGAGTGACACTCAGTAATGAAGAAGAGGAGGACGACCAATCTGAGTCACAAACCGTTGATGGAGATGAAGAAGAGGTTTTAGCCTTTACACTTAAAGACAAAACTGAGGTTGGTTCCAACATCGATTATGAAGATCTCATAGAAATGTATTGTGATGAAATTGTGAAAAATTACAAAGAGATGGTGAAAGAGTAGAAATATATTGATCTCTATAAACTAAAGATTGAGTGGTCGTGCTGAGGAAATGGATGCCTGGAATATCTCTATCATCAATGAGAACCACAACCTGAAAGGAGAAAATGATCGACTTGCCGTTGAAAATGCAATGCTAAATCA